CCCAGCCAGTATCTGGGGCACCCCAGTACCTTCCCGGGCCTGGCCAGCTCTCCTCTGGAAGAGGCCACTGCTCAGCCGACCTGTCCACACACCTGCTCTCCTGGGCCTGTCCCCGCCTGACCCAGCCATGAGCTTGGCAGGACTGGACACCAGCAATAGGCCGCTGTTTTCCACTGAGCCCCGGGTGTACTTATTCCCCGGAATCGTGGGGTCCGTCTCCCGCCCTCCTGACCGCGTGACAGTGTTACTGTCCTGCCCCTTGAGCCCTGGGACCTCCCTCCTGGCTGCGTGGATCTGCCCTTCAGTGGAAATCCAGGCCGACAAGCTTAGGGCGGCAACTGGGAGTTGCGTGATAGATAAGCACAAGGTCGCGTGCAGTGGGCAGCCCGGCCTGTGGCCAGCCAGGGCCTGTGACGTGAGGACTCTGAGATGCTGGCACAGCCGGCACATGTGACATCTCGAGAGCAGGGATGCCCACGTTTCTGGTAGTCACGCATGAGGTTTGCAGAGGGCCTGTCCTGGCGGCTGTGCCCTGCCTGCCCTGCCAGAGCGATCATACCTCACCCCGACGGCCAGAGGCACTGGCAGTGAAACAGCCAGGGGTGACGCGGGACAACACGGTGACAGCGAGCTGACCAGGAAGGCAGTGCCATCCCTCAGGAGGCCTCGGTCACCCTCAGCGGGGAGGCCTGGTTGCGATGTGTACAGCCGGCCGGACCGCGGGAGCTGAGCACACGGCAGCCGCCCCTCCGTCCCGAAGCCCAGTGTGACAGGACAGCGTTCTTAAACGTCCCTGAGTGTCTCAGAGAGTGGAGTCCTCCGTGTCCCAGAAACCATGCACGACTACCGAGAGGGACAGCGGGTGTTGTCTCCTTCCTGAGAGTGGAAACCGCAACTCAAAATGCTCATCAGAAAGTGCTATGGGACCAGCAGTTAGCGTAATGGCTACGTCGCTGGACTCCAATGTAGTCGACCACGGTTCGAGTCCTGGACCCGGTGGCTTAAAACTCACGCCGAATATGTATGCGTGTGTGCCCAAGATCCTGAGAGGAGAATAGAGGAGAAGGGATTGCGGCGTGGCCATACCCCCTGGGGGGTGATTTCTCGCTTTCTGTCTCTCTGTCTCTCTCTGTCTTGTGTGCACACGCCTTAAAGAAAAAAAAAAAAAAAAAAAACAACAACAACAACAAAAAAACCCAAAAACCTCTCCAAAAAGAAAAAGAAAGTGCTACTAGGGGCTTGTGGTGCTCCTGCCAGAGCCAGCACCCAGACAGGAGGGCCTTGGGGTGCTTCTGCCAGGGCTGGCTCCCGGACAGGAGGGCCCGCCAGGTCGGCTGGAGCTCACGCTTCTGCCAGGCAGTCAAGTACACGGATTCGGCACATGACGAGAAGCGCCAAGGATTTAAGAAGCAGAGTGGGGACCAGCAGTTAGTGTAATGGCTATGTCGATGGACTCCCACGTAGTTGATCGCAGTTCGCGTCCCAGACCTGGTGGCTTGATACTCACACCGGGTGCATGTGTGTGCGTGCCCAAGATCCCGAGAGGAGAATGGAGAAGGGATTGTGGTGTGGCCATCCCCCCTGGGGGGTTATTTCTCACTTTCTGTCTCTCT